CCCCCCCCCCCCCCCCCACACACAGCCGCCCCTTCCGATGCATCACCAAACGTCATACCAAACGATCCGGCGACTTGACTCCGGTGTTCAGCCGTTCGTTTGCGCGCTCCTGCGTCTCAGAATACCTACAGTGTTCATTCAGCTCAGACCGAGAAAATGATGCTGAGCCAGGCTATACGGCTGTTTTTGTCGTACCACTCGCAACTGCGGTTGACGCGTTGGGCCTCGCCCACGGGTGCATGCAAAACGAGCAATGATGGTGTAGGATATCAACCTTGAACATTCTTAAACACCAACATCAATGTCTATGTTAGTACTCTTGTGTTTCAGTCCACGTGTAAACCCAGCCCCTTATACTGTGTGTCATTCCGTCTTTCGTCGTTGGGCGCATTTTTCAATCTCTCTGGCACCACTCTCAGCACTATTACACGAATTTCTCTGGGCTAAGGAAACATCGGGCCATCTTTGGCAGCTTTGGACCTACGTTTCTTTCCGTAAAGCAACTTTCTTGTGCTACGTGTAGTTACTCTCTTCTCTCTCACCATCGTACGATAGCACGAACACTAGGCCATCATTCCGCGGCAACACGATGGCAGATACATGGAGCTTCGGAGCTCGAAGCAACACAGACAAGCAAACATTCAACACACAGCCGAGACCCAACTCACAAACTACCGATGGCGTTTGAGCGGCCATCACGCAATGTCATTGCGCTATCAAGCCCCATCGCTATCAAGCTCCATTCTCACCTCCAAACAGCAAACAACCTTTAGCACTAAAAACGGAAGCCTAGAGAGCACGTTAGCCCTGACGCACGAATGCGCGTGGTTTGTACTCTCATGGTATCGCTGTACTATTGTACCACATGCCAGCGGTAACCCACAACGAAAACTCACTTCATACGGCGCGATGCCGTCTCCGACATCACATGCATCATATTTCTACACGCCACCCCAAACAGATATCAAATGAGACCAATTCCTCGACCTGAAAACACACAGAGAGCTGCGGATACGCCTCTACGCGTTCGGTATGTGGAACATGGTATGTGGAACACGGTATGTGGAACGCGGTATGCGGAACACCTTGGACTCCAAGTCGATGGCACCCCCCACACTCCTCCTGCACCACGATAATTCCGTACCGCTGTGCGCCGCCGCCTGATAGCGTCCAACACTGCTCGGGATCTACTGCACACTGCACACACAGAGTGGGGGCGGCGGCATGTGTTGCTCCATGCCACCATCCGTGGCAATAACAACCTTTCAACAACGACAAGCAAAGGAAGTCCAATTACTGTACTGCCGACAATCACGACCGCAATAAGAAACAAGAAAGCCGAGAACCAAGGCGCGCGTTCCAAACGCCCCCCTCCACCAATCACCGACCAGCAGGATACGGGACATCCCTCCCAATGACAACATTCACGCAACAGAAGAAGCAATTGTATGTGTGCGTGATTGGCAGAAACCGCTTGTCGTAAAAAAACGAGAGACCATGGAAGGCAAACGTGAACAGGAGACGCAACAGCCGCTTCTACTTAAAAAAAGTCAAAGACCAAGGCTGGCTGACGTTTGTGATGGCACTGATACCTCCGAGGATTCGGAATGACAAAACTCAACAGCGCAAAGGTCTTCGGGAAAAAACCTGTGAGACAACGCACGCCTGTAAAAGAGTCAACGCACTCTGCTTTTTCACTCGACCCCTACTAAGCTCAAAATATTGCATCCACAGTAGAGGAACGGTTTTTCGGGAAACAACTAACTGTGACACCAGGTCGACAATCGAGAGTCGACGCATCACAGCAGGCACAAAAAAACGCACACTGCAAGCTCGGCCTTCGTGCTTCAAACAACAACGCCTTCGCGCGACAGACAAAGTGCAGACACGCACCCACGCCCTGAAACCAGGCCCTTCCCTCCCTCCCTCATGAGCCGTGTACATTCATCAGAATCGGCACCAAAACGGCATGCACCACTTCAGGATCGGTCCGAGGAATGGGCCTCCACAGAAAGTGGCACATGTATAGCGATATCTGCCAACGCTTGCCGTATCGCGTGCCGTTGGCCAGGCTCACACCGACCCCAACCATAATGAGCTACGTGGTGCACGCCACGAACGCTGGATCAATCTTGAGATCATCGCCCGTCACGTTCCGCCCAACCAACGCGCGATACAGAATGCCGCGAGTCTCCTGACAGAGCATGCCGTCGCCGAGCACCACCTTAGGCGGGTAGCGGTCGAGGCGGCACGCCGATCAGATGCGGTAGAGCATGCCGCTGTCAAGCATGACCTTTGACTCCACGTCCTCCAGATATTTGAGGCTGAGAGTCACCTCATTGTCGTTGAAGGGTGACGTGCCCTGGACAACCTGAGCGTTTATGTCGGCGTGCACCTTCGCCAATGATATACTGTTACAAAACAGGCCGGGGGGGGGGGGGCCCCCTGGGGTGCGTATTGTCATCATTGTCAAGGCGCAAGGCGCAAGGGGTAGGGGTAGGGGGATGTTCCTTTGTCAGTAACAAGAACAACAGAGGCTCACCACGTGCACAGCACCTAGCAATACGGCAGGTGCGACAATGATGGACGCTTGGCGTTCTGAGGGTTCTACGTAAGCAACAACGAGAGACAAACATAATTTGCAGAGGCCTGTCTGCTTTTGTCACCAAGCGTACCGCGCGCGCGCGCGCTCGCAAAACTTACGTGTCCGTAGTGCTTTGGCGGAAGAGCGCTCCCAACGCCAACTGAAACGCATCCATCCGCCTGCCATGAGAAGAGCGAGAGGGGACACAAAGGTGTAGACAAAAATTGAGCGTGTGTGCCGTCCGGATTTTTTCCAGGGCTTGGTTGTTTGATGCACAGCAATCTTCGCCGAGGGAGTCGAAGCCAAAAGGAAAGGAAGGGAAAAGAAGGAACAAAGTCGAGGTTTAAGGTTTACCTATATGTACCCGTTCACTGTGGACCTCGTTCTCTACAACTTTCGGCAGACATATCAGCAACATGCGGCGAGATTCCTGCCGTTTCGATTGGACACCAAAACCGCCGCTGTCTCTGTCTCTGTTTCTCTCTCCACTCACCCTGCGGAAAGCGGCGCGCTCGGTGTCTTCGTGGCTTCAACGACCTGGGAAACAACATATGCAGTTACGGTTACGGTTAAGGGTGGTTCAGCTTTTTTTTTTCATCTTCACTTCAAATCAGCCCTCACAGCATTTCTGCCGTTTTACTCCAAGCCCTGGTCACACAGAAGTGTTCCTCTCCCTGATGCCCTCTTACTTACTCCTGCTTTTCTTTGCTTTCGAAGGTTAGAATTAGGATTCTTCGGGTTGGCAACAACTGAAACAAGGAGCATCCGCCAGAACCTCCTCAGATGCGTAGTTTTGGTGCCGGTAAAACAGGGAGAAGGTAGTGTCCCCATCGCTACCATCAACTTAAGGGTTAGGGCTAGAAACAAGTCGCGACTGGTTTGGGAGCAGCGGCTTGGTACGAAAACCGCCAGATGCAACGATGCTTTGACCTCAGCCCAGGAGGCTTTTCCATACCCTACAGCACCCTGTGCCACTCCCTACACAACAAGGACGACCGACTTGTCCGACAGGATCAGATATCGATAAGACCTTGGCCTCATCTCGTCAACAATTCGGCATTTGCGTGGCACTTGCAGGGCTAGGACGACCGCAACACGAGGAATTTTACGTTACATGGCATCGCCTGTCTCACTACGGACACGTCGGTGATGGCGTGCCGTTAGGGGCTAGGACAAGTACATGAGGATTTTTCTAGGGCTAGAGGTAGGGTTGGGAAAAACATGCCATCGTCTTCTCACAGCGGACACGTCGGTGATGGCCTGCCGTTAGGGGCTAGCACAAAAGCCTTACGCTTAGCGTTAGAAATAAGGGGGTTAACATGGCATCTTCTACCTCATCACGGATAGGTTGGTAATGGCGTGCCGTGAGGGTCTAGCACGAAGACTTGAGGCTTTTGGGCTAGAGATAGGGGTGGAGATTGGGTTGGGTAAACATGTCATTGTCTATCTCACCACGGACAGGTCGGTGATGGCGTGCCGCGTCGGGTCCTCGCCTCGTGCCGGCACCTACCAATATGTAGAGGAGGAGATCAACACACAAGGGAGACGAAACGACAAAAATAATGGAGGGCCACGGTAGCATAGGAATTAATTCAGCGTGAAACAGAGAGAGAGGGCGTGAGAGAGAGCGAGAGAGAGCGAGAGAGAGAGAGAGAGAGAGAGAGAGAGAGAGAGAGAGAGAGAGATGGGCACGATAGGGACGAGAACAGCTCGGTTGCTCACCGACGTAGACCACGCCCAACACAAATGGTGCGTTCTGACAAAGCCTTCGGCGAGAAACACTCTCAACATTCAACCCCACCACTACTATCAGCACCGTCACCTTTTTTACTGCGGAGCAATGGACCTTCAACAAAATCGGTCCAGGGGCTGTGGTATCCTAAGCATCGTATGCATACGAAATCAGGAGCATCTTGACATCCTCCCCCCCCCATTCCCCGTCTTGTCGTACCTCCCGTTCGCGGTGCACCTCCTGGTTCTCTTTGCACTCAGACTGCGACGACGCCTTCTTCCAAGGCCTCCCCCCCCCCTCCGCAGTCCTGGCCCTCTTGCGGGGCCCCTTGCCCTCCCGCCCGCCCGCCGCCGCCGCCGCCGCCGCCGCTATCGTTGGCTTTGAGCGCTTCACCACCGGCGTCACCTTCTTGAGGCTACGGCTGCCTTTAGCCTTCGCCTCTAGGGATGACAAAGAAGTATTCGCGTCTGCGCTTGATGCCAGGGGGCTCGTCCGTGTTGGCGCCGGGGGCGGAGGTGTCCGAGCCGGCTTCTGGCGGCGTGTCGTCGGCTGGTGCGGTTTGGCATGGGGTTTTCGACGTCGTTCGAAGAGGCGTTTTGACGCGTGTGGCAAAGGGGACGAGCGAGGAGGCAAGTGTGGTGTGAGACTTCGGGGGGGGAGGGGGTATTCGATAGGTCAAGGATGACATGCAGGGAGTGTTAGAGGTGTCGCGATAAGGACAGGAGCCGAATCTACACGAGCAGTGTCACACCTACGCCAGGACCAGAGCCAACAGGGGCCTACAGCACCAACACCGACCACAACGCAATATGGCACACCACCTTTACGGCCGCACAGGCGTAAGCACTGCGACAGCCACGGCTGCATCAACCAATACCACTCCACGTAGCACGACACCCACAGCCACCGAACATCATGACGGCAGCGGCAAGGGCAGCAACAAACACCACTTGCCGTCTGCAGGTTGCACAAGATTCCACACCCCCTGGACCGACTGTCAAAAGCTCGACTAACCCATACGTTTTCCGGGAAGCTCTAGACGCGGCGGTACAAACGCCTCCCGCCATTTATCTGCACCGCCACACTATTTGTGGTGCGGAGCATATCGGGCTGTAAAACCGGTCCAGGGTGTGTGGTATCTTACGTATGCAACTACTCCGGAGTACGATGCAACCGTCACGGCGTCGCGGCGACAAACCTACGACTTGACTATCTCTTCCTCTCTCTACGAGGCCACCGTTCAACCGGAACTTTGTTCTACCGGAGGCGCGAAAGTTTTTTCCGATGTGGCGCACAATCCTGCCACCCAGCATGACCCTAGTACCGTCGTAGGTGGCATGACACAAGATGTCACACACCCCGGGATTGATTTTCAATACTTGATTATTCGGCAGGAAAAGCACCGATGGTGCCGGGAAATGGCGGCATTGGAGCCGTCTTGTCGAGAGCTTTTCCCGAAAACGTGTCATTACATCCTTTCGTCGTGAAGCAATCGAGCTTTGAAAATCGTCCAGGGGGTGTGGTATCCTGCGTCACCTACTGTAGGAAGGGCGGCTACTTGTTCTGGGGAGCAACTATAGCCAACAAACAATCTCAGTCCGGGGGGGGGGGTTGTACTCATAGTCATGCATGCCGTAATCGTTAGACCATTGACCTCATTCGGGGGGGGGGGGGGGGATTGGCGCACTCATGCCCTTACTGGCGTACTTTACCTCGGGCACCTCGACGGTGAACCTGTCGCGAGGAGCCGACTGCCTGGCGGCAATCTCCAGCGGGGTGCACGAGATGTAGGTCTCCTGCACCCTCTTCTCGCTGCCGCCCAAGAGGTACTTGATATCAAAGTACGACATCTGCACCATTTCGCCGCACACCTCTTCCTCGGCTGTCATCGCCAACACGATACGCGGTACAATAGTTAGAACCGGCGAACCAAACCTTTTTTTGAGAAGCAAAGGCTAAGATTTTGGCGGTACATGAGAAAAAGAGAAAAAAAAACTACGAGTAACAAAGGGTCAGATTTTGGCGGTAAATGAGGAGTAGAAATCGACGAAGAAGAAACACACCTCAGACGCGGATCCTACAATAAGCTCCGTATCATGAGCTACTCGACAGTAAATAGTGGTGACGAAAAAGCCTCGACCCCAAAATTGACGTTTCTTAAACGCTGGCGCTAGCTGTATCGAGGTCGGTTCGGGGTGATGGGAAAAGATTAGAAAAGAAGATGTCGGGCTCCGGGTAGATTCGGCACTACAAGAACAAGGGTAGAGACAGACAGGTGTTTCATAACGGTAACAAATCGATTCGAGGCGGTGAAAAGCCCGCGTGCGGGCGGGCTGGGGGTCATCCATCTACCGACTGGGGGTGATGAAGCTTTTAACCGTGCGAGTGTCTACTAACAAAACGCGACATCACCGCTTGGCCTAAACTAGCCCGACACCAATCACCAATCAACCTGATGCTCGAGGAGCCACCATAATCTATTCGTCGTGCCATGGGTAGCTGCAAAATAGAATAGAACAACATCATGGGAAAGAAAAACTTCCATGTGACGTCATGCGGCGACACCATCTCGCCCGATTACAACACTATTCAAGAGTTAGCATACCGCTCTGGTAATATAGCAGCCATTGGGAACTCAAACGAGGAGCCACCATAATCTATTCGTCGTGCCATGTGCCACGGGTAGCTGCAAAATAGAATAGAACAACATCATGGAAAGAAAAACTTCCATGTGACGTCATGCGGCGACACCATCTCGCCCGATTACACTATTCAAGAGTTAGCATACCGCTCTGGTAATATAGCACCCATTGGGAACTCAAACTTGTCTCCGAGCGGCCTTCATATTTCCCAACAGAGTGGAACACACGTGTACAAGAGCTCGCGCCAAACTCAACATCCAACATAAGCAAGCATTCAACTCGGAAGACCCCCAGCAACACGGCCGGTACAACCTACGACAGGACAGCAAACGAACGAAAGACACGAAACCTAGCGGTAACAATAGCGTCGCGTCCTACCGGTGTACTTCTTTGTAATGCGGCCGATCCCGCCGGGCTTGTTGCTGCCGGGCCAGCACCGGCGCTCCACGTCCACAGTCTTGTGCGCACCGTCTGTCCCTTGCGGGCACATGCACGGTCCGAACGCGGTCCCCTGCTGAGGTTTGCCGAAAATGAGTCAAGACAAGGGCAGGGCGGCACGCAGACGATATGATGGAGAAAGTAGTCCATCGAGGTGGGCTTGTATATTGACCGTCGATGGTTATGTTGTTGACGTCCACAGCCCGTCTCAGCCAGTCTTCTCTTTGTCAACTCTCTCGAATACACTTTTCTCTTGACGGTACATACCCTACCATACCCTCCGGAGGTTCGTTCAACAGTCCCCTTGCAACAGAAAACAGAAAAAACTTCACTGTTCCCATGGGCGGCTTGGAAAAAAAAAATGAGACGACGCGCACATCTTGGGAGGCGCCGAAAACGATTCCCGTAGCCAACACTGGCTACGACACCAACATACTATGGGTTGCAGATTTCATGAGATATCACACCCCCTGGACCGATATTCAAAGCTTGATTACTCTGCAGGGAAAGCAGTGACGGTGCCGAAAAAGGCGGATTTGGAAACCGTCCCGTCGAGAGCTTTCCGAGCACGTATCGTTTGCCTCCGGCATCCTCTCGGTCGTAGAGAAATCGACCTTTGAATAATCGGTCCTGGGGGTGTGGTATCTTATGCAAACTACGGTAAGTTCCACCTCACACCGCGGCTAAGATACGGTACGATGAACCAAGACGCTACTACACCGCTCTTGTTTCACGAACCTTCCCGTCCCCCTTCGCCTTGCTCTTCGGAGCGGCCCCAGCACCACCGCCGCCGGCTCCCGCGACATCGCCGGATGCTGCTGCTGCTGCTGCTGCTCCGGCCCCAACAGGCTCCACCGCAACACCACTCCGCTCTTCAGAGGTACCTCCTACGTCACCGCCCACGGCCTTCTCTCCCTGCGTCTCCTTCAATCCGGCCTCACCGTCTACCTCCATGTTAGCCTCCCGTGCCTCTTGAACCTCTCCCTTGCCTCCTACCACCACCTCGACTTCCTCCACCTCGGCCTCACCTTCTACCTCCATGGCCGCCCCCTGGTGCGGGGTTTCCTTGCCGTTGTCCGGCCCTACCATGTCCCCCTCCTCGGGACCTTGGACGTCCCCCTGAGGGACCGGTCCCGAAGGCTTTGGGGGCGCCGAACACGGCGTACCAGCGCCAGCCGTCGTCGACACACACCCCTGCGCGCCAGCCGTGGCAGCAGCACCAGCAGCAGTGGCTGCAGCGGCAGCACCAGCGGCAGCCGGAGAGAGTTCGGCGGCACATGACCGAGCAGGCTTTCCCGCAGGGGAAACGCACCCTTGAGAAGAGGTCTCCGTGCTACCTTCCACCGTGCGGGCTAGATCTACTACCCTAGCAGGCTTTTCCCCCGCGGCCGGTGCATCAGGAGAAGCGTTTCCTTGAGAGGAGGAGGTATGGGTGCTACCCTTTGCTGTGTGCGCTGGGTCTAACACCGCAGCCAGCTTTTCCGCAGCCGGCGCCTCGGGAGCAACTCCGGTCACGGTGCTGCCCTTCACCGTGCGGGATTCGTCTACCATCGAAGAAGGCTTGTTAGCGGGAGTAGGAGGTGCTCCAGCCTGTCGAAGTGGACATCAGCAATTAGTGAAAGGGAGGGATGCAGCCCAGGTTACCTCAGGGCGACGGGGGGGAGGAAGCACATGGGTCCGTAACACGAGCTGTACCAAACATTTCACCTACAACAGGTAGTGAAGGCGAAGGCCCGCACGCTGGGCCTCAGCAAGTAACGGCGATTCTCAAAGAAGCCTCTCCTGGGCTACATACTGCTACAAGCCCAAAGAGAGCCGGTTGATATCACATGGCCGTGTCGTTTCGATGCCGCAGCGCGCGGCAGGAGCAACACTGAGTATTCCCTTCGGCAACGAGCGGATGAGCACGACGACACATCTTAGACGACCCGAAGGCACAGGCAGCGTCGCGACTATCTGCAACAACAGCGGGAGAGCTCTCATCCACGGGGAGGCACAGTGTCCTGTGCCTCTTCAACACTTGTTCTTAGAAAATACACATGAAAAACAAGGAAGACTACGCGATCGAGATATTGCCACAGTCCAAAGGGAGTGCTCAAGTCTTTTCAGTGAGTGAAGGCAACCGACTGGAAACTGGGCTTGTTTCGAGTCTGTTCAAGCCTACACCCATTTTTTCACCTCTTGCGCTTGCTCTCGATCTTTGGAGGCAAGGGTTTGCTCGCCCTTCTTCTCCACTACGGCTTCCACTCCCTTGTCCTGCGGCTTTTCTTGGGGCCGGGTAGACTCTTGCGGCTTCTCCTGTTCATGCCCATCTGCCTGGCGTTGCTGCCACTCGTACTCGGCCAGGAGGCTTGGTTGGGAAACCACGTACTGCGGGAGCTGTAGCAGGACAGCGACAAGAGGGTAGGGGGGAAGCAGTGCTGTGGCCGCTGTTACACGCTCATGTCGGCAACAACCTTTGCTTGTTCATGTTGTCTTCAAGATTAAAACCGTTCCTCCTGCGGTGTCTTGCTGAGTACCTTTTAACGTCCGTAGTCCAAGAAACCGTGCAGATGTGGATTGGCGTTCCAAGAAAGGCAAGCTTTGCCCTCACACCGACGTAGACATGTCGATGGAGGAAACGGTGAGCGTTTCCTGGTGTAGGGGTCTAAACCACTTTCTAATGGCTTCGAAGGAACGTAGACAGCCCTTTCAGAAGCCGAAATCAAAATATTTGACCAGGCAGCTCAAACCATTTAGACTAGTCAGCCCAACCCAGCAGACTACGCGTTGTAGTCCGCACTGACTACATAGTCTAATGGTTTGGTTCGGCCTCTATAGCTCCAAGGAGCATGGCAGCACCGTCAACCCGCCAAAAAGACTGAAAAACGTGACAAGCTCACGGGTACATATCAGCAGTGCTCGATGCATACTAGCATCACCAGAGCCACCACATCAGAGCTACCTTCAACGGTGTCAACGCAACACGTCCATCTACCCCGCGATCCGTCCAGCACTCCACTAGCAACATCAGCGCTACCTCCACGCTTTCAACGCAACACATACCCACCTTCCCCTGAGCCATTACAGTGCCGAGAGCAGTCTACTAGCAACGTCAGAGCTACCTCAACGGTTTCGCACCCAAATCCACATTGGTATCCCAGCGCCATGACCCGACAGCAACCAAACCAGCATCACAGACCGCAGCGCCCCTCACCTCAGCGGCCTCCATGGAACTCCCACTGCCACCACCGCCTTCGGGCCCGCATACCGTCCATCCGCTACCCGTAAACCGCCAACCCTTGACTCCCTCCAAGAACTTCCACAAGCGTCTCTCGTCTGGCAGCTTCGAGCAGCTCTTGTCGCCCTTGCCCTCTGACGCCTGTTTCTCGACGCCTTCCTTCTCCACCTCACGCGGTTGGGTGGCGACACGCTCGTCCGCGGTCGTGCTTGCGGGGGTTCGCTCCTGGTAGACGGCAGGGTACGTTCGTTGCAAAGGGGTACGCAGGCGGCCAGAGGGTATGAGAGAGCACAAACTGCCACCTGGTACAGCCATATGGGTGCACGCGCACTGGCCCTATCATCGTCGACAGAAGAACGGATCCAACCCATAGGGTGGCTTGGTGGAACAAAAGATAATACATGTTCAAGCCAAGCCCGTCCTCCGAACCTCCCACAGCAACCTTCTACACGTCGAAACCGGTAATCAACCTACATACCAAAACCTGTGCTGTACCTCTGGCCGCCCTGTAGGATAAGGATGGTTGGGGGCTGTGCACGTTGACAACAATCGAGAATATCTTGGACCGAAGGCAAGAAAGTTCTATTATTCTGCTGTATACTCCACTCCTGAAGGCGACAAGCGACGGAAGGGGTGGGAAGTCTTGTACAGGTACAGCAGTACCGCTATGTACACGACGCCATGGAGGCATGAATCCTACAATAGCGCGATGTCTTCGCAGCAAAATCGTTGCCGCGGCGAAGAGAAAGTCTCGATCAACCAGCAGCAGCAGTAGCACTAGCAACAAATGTAGAAAATTCACAGCAACACCGGCCGGAAGCTTCAGGGGAGGGGTGTGCTCACATCAGGCTTGCAAGATGAAAGTCTACTGCGGTATCATATTATAGTAATCTCCGCGTCTCGTACAGCAGAATAGTCGCTTACCAGTGTGCGCACATTTCGCATATGCAGTGGATTCTCCGTCTGCGTTTGGGTATGTGTTGTCTCTCTCTCTCTCTCTCTCTCTCTCTCTCTCTCTCTCTCTCTCTCTCTATCTCTCACTCACCTTCTCAACGGTGGATGGGGTGGAGCCCGCCAACTTGGTAGGTCCGGCCACGACCTTGTCGTCCGTTCCTTGGTCGGTCGAGTCCACCATGGTGCAGAAAACCCTCGGCGTTGCTGATGTCTTGTCGTGGTGGGAAAAGTCGTGGCGAGACGTGGCACACGAGAGAGAAATATTTGGTAAGGTTGGCAAATGTCGGGCATAAGGCGTTCGTGAACCTGCACGCGATTTTCTGCATACGGTGTGTGTGTGTGGGGGGGGGGTCGATATAAGCGGTCTGAATAAGGCGGTTGGTCGATATAAGGCCCGCTGTAAGGCTGTGATCGACCCTAACAAAGGTAAACCCATCCCAAGCCGGAGACACTAGCGACACAGCAGTGATTAGCGCACGTGCCTTCTCTAACTTCAGAGGGGGAGGCGGTGCGTGTGCCGTTCTTGTTCTTTACACGGTTTTAGAAAACATTTTTGAAGTTAACCAGGTGAAGGGAGTGTTCGTCGTAGAAGAATGAAGGGAGTGTTCGTCGCACAAGAATGAACGAACACCGTCGCCGTCGCGGACATGCCCGCACCGCACAAGTCGTCCGTAGTCAATCGGAGGGAATGGGAGTAGCATGGGATGATGGCCAACGGTTGATGATGCGGGTCGCGCCGAACACATCGGTAATGCAGCTGTACACGACGGCGGTGTGTGTGACGGCGGTACTCTCGATTGCATTGAGGAACCGGAGGGGCAACATCCGCAAACAAACCCCACGACTGCTGTGTGACACCCTCCCTCCTACACTGCGTCCACCCTATAAACAGGGCGGCAACCACCCTTTCGAGCCATCCTGAAAACCTGAAGAAGGCAACGCGGTAACCGCCTTATTATTCGCGATGAAGGCGGTTGCCCGTTGCGAGGGGGTTATGTTCAGCTGCCCCGCCGCCTGATACATACAATATCGGTGCCCGAGTGCGTGCTGGCATGTACTTCTATGTACAGAAGACGTTTATTGTAGTTAAAAGAGCAGGTTTGAAATATTTGGGTTGGACGACAGGGGGAAGAGAGAGAAAGACTAAAGAGAGAGAGAGAGAGAAAAATGCAAAATGCAGCACATCACAAATTTTGAGATTGCATTGTTAATAGTGCCGTCTCAGCGACTACAAACCCTATTTGCAGCGAGCGGTGGTGTCCTCCTGTCTAGCTGTCTACAGCAGTCCTTGAGCACTCTGGTGTCGCCCGCAGTCCTAGACTACACACCGAAAGTGGACGTTGTGATTTATCCAAAATTACAAACACAAAATTTCGGATTCGGAACGAGGCACATACATTACATGCCGGGTACAAGATGTGTGCGGCAAACGGGGCTACAGCCAGCTAGAGTGTGTGTCAGATTAGTCTATCCTCGAGCAAAGGGGCGTGAGGGCAGGCGCCGCTGCAGGCACGGCCATTTCAAACGACAGCATCCTATCCTCCGGGGCAAGATCAGAGGGCGAGCAGAGTCCACTTTCAATTACGAGATGAGTGCGCCCGAGGGGGTGGCCTTGGACTCACCGCACAATGAAGGAAAGTAGAACAACCTCGTTCTGCGGAGTCCAGATAATGTGAAGACAAGCTAGCAAGCCTAGCCACACCACTGCTGCTGCTGTGCACCTCCAACTGGCCTTCTCAACCTAGAGTCAAGCCTGCAGCCGCGGGTCCTCCCGATCCGAACCAGGGGGGATGGTGTTTGTTTTGATTATGCGGAGCCTCCCCAAAGCGAGCGATTTGATTGGCTGCGACATGCCGACGGACAAAGCAGCCATGTCATGTACATCATCGTGTTCGCTCTCGCCTTTCCGCCCATTCTCTGCAGTGATCCCGCTGATCAAACGAAGTACTGCTGTAGCTTGGTTCCAGCACATCAACTCCTGTCAATTAACTAAGCAAGCATCATGGCGAAGAAGAAGAAGAGTACGAAAAAGAAGAAGCGTGTGGCGGTTCACATCAGGGAGAACATCAAGGGCAAGAGAGAGGCCGCCGCCTCTGCGGACGGGGAAGTCGGTGCCGACAAGCGAGCGCCCCTGCTGGCGGCACCTTTGGGCGTAGGAAAGCCGAAGCGTCCTCGAGAGCCAGGTGAGAGCTGCTGCTGCTGCTGTTATTTGTTCGGTTTCTTGGCAAGCAGTACTGCTGTGGTGATGTAGTGTGAGTACAAGCGGTAGCTGCCATTGAAGGTGTGTGGTCGTCTGTGTAGTCTCCCTCTGTTCGTGTGCAAGGATGTTACTCGTGTACATGTCCGCAGGTGAGCAAAATGAGGTAGAGCAGTACACCACGACTGAAGTGTATGGTGCGGTTCTCCCTAATGGACCACCAACATGCCTATCTCGAAAAGCAGACGAACGGTGTGATGAGACAGGACCTGCCTCGTTAGGTAGCCGAAATATAAGGCGGAGATTCGTGGTACGCTGCACTACACGACACTCAGATATACGGTCCGCTTGTGGTCACGGCGAGTCGGTCGAAAGCTTACCTCGGAGTTCACACAGCAGCTGGGTACCTACCTGCACATACGCTTTCGATGCAAGTGGCACCACTTGCCGTTATTGAATCGCCGCTGCTGTGCCTGTGAACACTTTCCTCGGCGGTGACTAGATCACTCATTTGCTTGTGGCTGGTTCATGATCAACGTAGGCCAGCGTGTAGTCTAGACTATGCTTCACGGTCCCTTGTTCCCTCTCTCGTCGGTGTTTGGGCCCAACGCCCCGCTCGTCGCTCCCCCGCTCCCGTCCCGAATGCCCTGCATACTTGACCCTTAACCCTCTTGCGCCACACGGACGACATCGTGTCTGATGGCATGTTGAACCACATGGCCTCCTCTCCTGCTGTACAACCGCTGCCGCCGTTTGTGACTGCTGTTGGTACCGTTAGCAGCCGATGCAGCGTCACTGGGGAAGGCCAAAGACGACCCTGCCCGCAAAGAAAAGGAGCGCACTGACGCGAACAACTATCTCGTGGTGAGTGCGTCGCGTTTTCCTACCAAAACCGTCCAATCGTTTCGTGCACAGCGCTACCATCGTGGGTTGAATAAGATACTACGCCCTGTCGACCGATTTTCAAAGCTCGATCACCGTGAGAGGCGGAGAGATCGCACCCCCCCCCTTGACAGATTTCAAAGCCTGATTGCTCTATACCAGGCTTGTGCCAACACCAAAGGTTGTGGTTTTGGAATTCGTCTCGTCGAGGACTTCCCGTAGATGTATCGGGCTCTTTCCGCGCCCGCTCGCAAGTGATGCAATCCAGCTTTGAAAGTCGATCTACATAGGGGGGTGTTCACCTCTCCGCCTCTTACGGAATACCACGGTACGGTATACGGTATACGGTACGGTACAGACAATCTTGGTCGTGGAATAATCGAGCTTTGAAAGTCGGTCTAGGGGAGGTGCCATCTCTCTGCCTCTTACGGTACTCTGCAAAAAACACAGCGCTGGTGCCGAAAGTGGCGGCATTGGAACCGTCTCGTCAAGAGCTTTCCGGAAAATTTTGGTTCGATCTTGGCATCCTCTTCGTCGTGGAGTAGCCAAAGCTTTGAAAATCGATCAAGGGGGTGTGCTATCTTACGCAACGTAGGTTAGCACACTTCTGAAGCTTGGGTAGTCTCGGCTTGCACTGCCCCGCTTTGCTGGGTACGCCAAGACTTTTTTTTGGCAGCTCCGAAGCGTGGATGTTAGACAGCGGTGGATTTTGTCAACAGCTATGTACAGCAGTAGTGGATGTGTCGTCGACCACTACTGAGCCGTGGGATGCGGGAGGATTATTCAGGTTGGCCTGTCCCTCTCTTTGTAGACGAAACATTCCGCATAAGCTGTGTAGTGGGTAGGGACGACGACGAGCAACTGCTGTGGGGACTGGACGACTTCAACAGCTACCTTACGGTAGTCCAAAAACTATCTTCTAACCTACAGCAGTTCTACCAGAAACGAGGTTCTTTCCCGGGGAATAAACTGTGCCCCCTGTTGGGGGGGGGGGTGTATTGTGTACTCATTGTCGTGTATGCCGTAGTCGTTTGACCATTGACCTCACTTCCCTACAAAGCCAGGACCTGTTTGGGGGGGGGGAGTCACAGCCGTTTCCCTCCACGAGACAGCAGTGTAAGCGTTTACCGGGGGGGTTCAATATAGCGTGTGCTATCGAAACGCCTTCGCCGAACGCCGATACTTCGCGTGGTATGTTCCCGCTCGGGCGTTCTCTAGGTCCTGCTGGAAAATTCGACAATATTTGAAATCCCTTCTCGTCCAGCGAGTGCCATGTACGGTTAGCATTTCTATGTCGCTTGTCGAATCTGTAGCTTTCGTTATTTTACTGCAAACCTGGGGAGTGGCACTGAGGTCGTGGATGAAAAGAGCCCCACCACTTTCTCTACACATCAAAGTTAGACCATAATTATTTCTTGTATCTACTACTAACCTTACGTTTGTGTGTGTTGAACGGCGTGTTTCGGCTTTGTCCTTGCAGGCATGGCTGACCGTACGCAAGGCGAACGAGGCCGCCGAAGAGGCGGGAGTTGCACCTCCTCCCGCAACCGGCGTGTGGAAGTTCAACAAGAACACACAAGCCTGGCTCCTTCGCCATGTCTTCTCTGATGATGAGGTTCGTTCCTCATGGATGCTAAGTTTTAGCGAGGAGTTGCCGCTCTGCCCGTCCCATGGGCCGCCTGTGGGCCGCCCATGGGACGATGGGTGTTCCATGGTCCGTCCCATGGGTCCCTTGGGCCGTCCCATGCATCCCATCGTCCGCCACAAGCGTTCCATGGGCTGCTGCATTCGTCTCATGGGCCGTCCGTCAATGGCAAAGCTTGCTCAATCCCGTTTTCCTTCTGCACAATAGACCGCCCTTTTCTCCATCACACCCGTGTGGAGGCACACGGAAGGGATTAAGGCCTTAGTTGCTTGCATATTGGCAGGTCACATGTAACGCCATGCCTAGCTGACTTGGCGCGATACGTGAAGGAAGTGGTACTCCTGTGTTGGTTGCAGCATGGGATGAGGTCGGTGCCTCGGCAGTGTTTTAACCAGCACCTCTCATCTCACCGATCTGTGCGCCATGTCTGGTGTAACGTTGTTGGAGGTCAACGGCAAGCAGGGACGATGCACTCAGAGTAGGCACCCCGATGTGATGGTTGTTGGATGCGGCACTCCAACGAACGTCGACATGATGCTGTGTTGCGTCGTGTTCACTACGGTGCATGTTTTTTTTTTCGTTCTTTCTCGCTGCACCCGCTGAGATGTGTCTTGTTCGCCTTTGTGCCCCCCCCCCCTCTACCCAAGGCTATCAAACTATTGAGAGACAAATGCGCACAAGTTCACATCGTCAGTTCTGCCCGGAAGCTTCGTTTTTGCAGTATTTACGTAGCCAACAATGTCACCTCCGTTGTCTACACCTTTTTCACTGCTGCTTTGTGGACAGATCGACGACAAGAGGTTTGAGACTCTCTGCCTGTATCTTGAAGGCCTCAAGGGAGCTGGCCGACAGGCGAGTTGTAGAGGAAAAAAAACGGCAGCATTGGGGAGTGTCTTGCGTCGACGTTTTGTCGGCAAAAGCGTTGCTGCTGGGCGGGGTGGTTATCTACCGTGTTTCTTGAATGAGAGCATCGATCGCGTGATCGACCGGGTGACCAACGAAGAGGAAGACGTTCGCCTGGGACGACACGAGGTTCTGAACTCGAAATACCCTATCCGAGACCCCCCCCCCCCCCACCCC